GACATTTTCTGACAAAATGAGCATCTCAGGGCTTTTGAATATGTTATTTATTTTGTCTGGAATAAAATACCACCCCCTCCTACAACAGCATCCCACCATGCCCTCCTCTTTCTTTCCTGCTGCCTTCTTTTCATCTGTCCAATCCTTAGTTTAAATAGAGTGACTGGAGTGAACTTTGCCTGCCTAGCTTATTTAGTATATCTCTCTCCTAACCCCACAACACACACACACACACACACACACACACACACACACACATGCACACACACACATTTATTTTCTATGCTGATAGGATTACTAGATTTAGCAAATAAAAATGTAGGACACCCAGTTAAATTTGAATTTCATATCAACAATGAATAATTTGTTTAGTATATGTAAATTTAATATAGACAGCCCTTCAGTCTGCAGGTCGACGCTCTATCCACTGAGCCAAACCGGTCAGGGCGATATAGACAGCCCTAAATACTCTACCTGATCATAGCATTTATCATGATTTGAAATGATACATTTACTTGTTAATCATTTATTTTTCTATTATCCCCTACTATTTTTTTAAACTCCATAGAGGCTGGGAACATGTCTGCTTCCTTCACCAACATATCATCATTGCTCGCATAGTGCCTTGCACTAGCAGATGCTCAGGACATATTAGTTGAGTGAGTAGTTTGAAGATCAGATGAGTTGTCAAGCCTAATAAATAACTGTTCACTAATTGATGAGTTGAGTGGATAGACAATATAGTTGTTAGGGCTTCCATGCCTGACTGAAGTCAATCACATTCACATAACACTATTTTTTTTTGATGACATCATCACAAAGACCACCTCTCTTAGTGCAGATGATCCAAAGTGAAACAGAGAAACAGACTTAAATTTATGCAAAATAATGAAAATAAAGCTTCTCTGCTGATGGTATTTGTGTCTTCTTAAATCATTTTGGCAAAGAAAATATTTAACTGAGTTACATTTTTCACTTTTATTTATTTATTTGTACAATAAGAAACTTTGAATCTATTAATTTTGGATAAAATAAAATAGTTCGACTATGATATTTCATAAACATATTTGAACATGCTCTGTGGGCCTTATTTATATCACCTGTGAAATGAAAGTGTTGACTAAATGTCTCCTATTTATGTAATGTAACTGTGATGCCACCAAATAGTCAGTCTAGCAGAAAAAGTCAATTTAAATAACTCAATTAGGTATTCATAGTCCATATTATTAACAATGAGTAAAGACTGAGTTATTATGGGGCTCTCTCTATTCTTTATTTCTTTCATCACTCCCTTTATCCAGCTGTTCCTTAGGGAAAAAGCTTCTGCCCTTAGTTGCTCATGTTGGGAACAAGAGCATGCTCCTTCTAAGAGATCCCAAACAGTGATAAAGTAGCATGTGTAGAAGGGATCAACATATATTTAAGGGGAGTCCCAGTGTAGAATATAGGTTATGTTAAATTCAATAAACTACATACATTATATACAGACACCCTTTCTTTCTGGCAACTCCCAGTTTAATTAGAGAAATACCTGAGCATGACCAGCTTCCTGCTAATTATTTATTTTAATATTTACTGAGTGCTATCATAGCATTTACCATGATTTTAAGTAATATATTTACTTGTTTACCTATTTATTTCCTATTGTCCCCTACTATTTCGTAAACTCTGTGGGAGCCGGGAACATCTCTGCTTTCTTCACCAACATATCGTCATTACTCACACATTGCCTTGCACTAGCAGGTACTCAGTACATATTAGTTGAGGGAGTAGTTTGAAGATCAGATGAGCTGTCACGCCTAATAAATACCTGTTCACTAATTGATGAGTTGAGTGCTATGAGTTACAAACTGACAAGTGATTCACATACACCATCTCATTCAACCCTCTCAACAACACTATGTGATAGTTATTTTTCTCATTTAATAGAAGAGAAAATCGAGGCTCAGGGAGGTTAAGCTACTTCCCCAAGAATCCTTAGCTAGAAAGTGGCAGAGTGCAGTAATGGACCCTATTGTTCAGATATTTGGTATAATTTGAAGTGACATAATGGAATAAATGTAAAAATAAAGAGGTCCTAGAAGACAAGGACCGTTCCTGCAAATGAACCAAAGGACCATGTCTTGACTCCCAGAAACACGGGCCTCAGCCTTGCTGCTATTCCATGATCAAGGCACAGCTGTGACAAAGGGTTCCATGGGAAGGGCATGAATTAAACAAAACAGTCTGTGTTAAAACCCCTTCTGTCACTTCCTCATGACCCTGGACAAGTTATTCAACTTAATTGACACTCATTGCTGTCATCAACAAAATATAGCTGCAACTTTTGTGAAAACTTAATAAAATGGGCTCTTTATAAAGTTGTACATATCTGGAAAGTGGTATTTATTATTTAGCCTCTTATGTTGGTAGAGCCAGAGGTCATTGAGATACTCGGGGAAAAACGACCTTTCTTAGAAATATCAGTTCTCAGTTCTTCCCTAAAACCCTGGCCCTCTCCAGGGGCAGCTGGAGGACAGTAGAGATTAATGAGGAGGAGCTTATCCTCTTACCCAAAGCGATTGTCCTGGTAAAATGAGGATTTGTGTGCCTTTCCTGAGGATTGACATAGCATGAAACCACAAGATGGATGTTTATCTGTGGCAATGCAAAACATTGTACACATGCATTACACTAAATAAAGTGCTTTATAAAGACAACTAGTGGCCCATGCACAAAATTCGTGCACATTAAAGGGGAATTAATTAGAGGAACTATTTTAATATTGCTATTTGCCCTTTCTCTATAATAGAAGTGTCAGAGATGAAAGAAAATTAGTAAAATGTATATGAAAATCTTCCTCCTGTCAGAGTCTGGAGTACACCACAGGGCCCAGAATTAAGTCCTCACCCACCCCCAAAAGCTTCCAAATTGCGTGAGAACCAAACCCAGCCGGCCCCACCCCCATCAAGCCCTGCAGGGTGGGAGGGTGCAGTTTCAGGCCCCCATTAAGCCCTGCTGGGCAGGATGCACAGCCTCAGGTCCTCTGACCCTGGCACCAGGGTGGGGGGCGCGGCTTCAGGTCCCCCAGCCCAGCCTCAGGTCCCCCAGCGCTGGCGCCAGGGCGGGGGAGCATGGCCTCAGGTCCCCCAACCTGGCCTTAGGTTCCCCAGCCCAGGTGCAAGGGTGCAAGGGTGCTTATTAGCTCTTTATTATATAGGATAATTGAATATTGTGCATGGAAAATGTGTATGTTATGAAATGAAAATATTTGCAAATTTGAAAATTCCATTTTTATCAGACAAGCACAATGGTTCTGGTTTGCTTCCTCTGACCTCATTAGAGGACCCGGTGTGATGTGCCTTCTTCCAGCTCTCCCTTTTTCCTTTCTCTGCTCCAATCACAAGAAATTACTTTCAGTTCCTGCAAAGGGCTACATCCTCCTGTCTTCAGACACCAGTAGGTATTGTTGCTCTTGCTGGAATGCATCCTGCCCTCTTTCTTCCTTTCCTCCTTCATTTTACAGCTCAGGCACCCCTCTTCTAGGAAACCTTCCCTGTCCACCTCCCAGTCTTGGATATTTGCTCCCACAATCCCGACCACTGCATTTACTACTGGGAGCACTTTTTCTATATTATCTCATTTAGCACCCACATAGTCTTTATGGCAAGGAGCCTTTCTTGGTGGCACATGATTCACCTAGGAAGCTTTAAAATATATTTTTTGCCCAGATGGTGTAGTTCAGTGGTTGAGCATTGACTTATAAACTAGGAGGTCAGGGTTCATTCTATTCCCAGTCAGGGTGCATACCCAGGTTGCAGGCTCAATCCCCATTAGGGAGCATGCAGAAGGCAGCCAATCAATGATTTTCTCTCATCACTGATGTTTCTATCTCCCTACCCCTTCCTCTCTGAAATAAATATTATATTTTTTAAAAAGAAAAAAAGTATTTTTTCCCAGGACTAATTTCAGAAGTTCTGATTTAATTGGCCTAGAATGCAGCCTGGGTATCATAATTTTTAAAAGCTCCCCAGGTGATTCTCAGGCACAGCCAGAGTGGAAACCCATGGCCTCTGAGATAGATGTGACCTGACATCCTTTTTCGACCCGGGACACCAAGGCACGGAGAAGTTAAGTAAGTGGCTTAGGGTCACACAGCTAATGAATAGTGGAGAGGATTTGAACCCAGAAAGTCTGGCTTCAACGCTTTGCATAAAAAAAGCAATTGACCTCAATTAATTTTTAAATATGTTGTTATTGATTTGAGAGAGGGGAAGGGAGCAAGAGAGAGAAACATCTATGTGAAAGTGTAACATCAATCAGCTACCTACTAACCATGGATCAAATCTGAAACCTGGGCTTGTGTTTTCTTTTTCTTTACCTCATGCACAAACAAAATAACTGAGCTTAGAGCATTTATCACAAGTTCTTTCAAATACTGCAGATTCTGGGAATTTTGCTTCAGAAACTAATCTTTAAAGTGACAGCATTTTCCAGGTTTCCTGTTCAACATACTTGCTTTTCCTTGTCTCCCAGTTCCTCCTTGTGGACATTCTTCAACATCTCTCTATAATATTAATGTAATATAGAGCTTCAAAAATTGCCCCAGCGACTTTTCTGAATGAGTTAGGTAAAGGTGTGTAGGTTGTTGAGGAAAAATCCTTTCTCTTCTGTAAGATTCTTTTCACTGTTAAGACAAACTCAATTGGAGAAGCTCTCACAATTGCAAAAGGCAGGGTGTATAGTTTGAGTCCTTTTTATGTGAGGTTCAATGGAAACTGCCATTTCTGCTAACCCAAGAGAAATGGCCTAAATCCTCTGTCTTTCTTTCTCCATTTGGAGACCACTAGACCAAAATCTACTTGTTTTCTTTTCCCTTCAAATAAATAACTGTTTTGAGATGACCTCTACATTCACACATGAAAATAGCATTTCAATTCTTAAGGTGAGTCTCCTTACTATTTGACAGGAATAAATTTTTATTGTAGGACTCATGAGGGGCTTTCTAGGCAAGCAGCGACCCAGCTGCTGTGCACCTGGGGAGCCTGAGAATGATAAGTCTCCAGTTAGAGTGCCATCTGGTCCTGAAGCAGCTGCCATCCACCATCAGGTGCCACCTTGGTTTCGGAGACAGATTTAGGAGAGAGTAGGGAGAGGCATGTGGGTCCTGTGTTGTCTCTGAGCCCCTGTGAGGCCTCTGGATCCATTTTGGACCTACTTTTCTACAAGCTCTTCATTTTCCATTGTCTTTCCATCCCAAATGACCTTACTCATCTGTTTCCCACAGCCCTGAGGAATCTAAGTTTACAGACTCCAGAAGGAACTGGCAATAAAGGCAGTGGTGAGTCAATCAAGAGCTTGATCAGACTTTCCATATCTGGATGCACACTGGGTCCCAAGCCTTCCAACAAAGCCATATTTTCCTTCAGCCACCCTGATTTTCCACCTACCTGTTGTTGAAGGCCACAGCCATTGGCCTCAGACACTTTTCTTAATAGCTTCTTCTAAAAAGCTTCTCTGCCCCCACTTTATTCCCAAAGCTCCTGGTGCATGAACTCTTAACACAAGGCCGATACATCAGCCACACAAAGCAGACCTTATGCATTATTGACTTTGTTGAGAATCCCCAAGTGGGGGTTCAGGAAATGGTAGGTGTTAATGATCTTCCCACATCATCCCAGTAAGAGTAGTAGTGGTTAGCATTTGTCAATTTAATATCTGCTTCTACCTTAGTCCCAGCTGTGCTCTTAACTATCATGCAAATATTCCTGATGTCCACTTCCTTTTTACCTTCCTTCCCACATCAATTTAAGGTCTTCCTCAATCCTTTCCTGGGTTTCTTCAAAAGCCTCTTCCCTGGTCTCACTGCCTGGGCCTCTGTCTTCACTAGTCTGTTCTTCATGGTGCCATCCATCTTATTCTTCAAAAGGCCAGTATATCAGGGTGCGGGCTATTTCAAACACTTCAGTGGTTCCCTGGCCCTCAGGACTGAGTCCAAACTACTCAGCAAGGTATTCCTAGCTCTTGATTGACTCACCACTGCCTTTATTGCCAGCTCCTTCTGGAGTCTATACGCTTAGATTCCCCAGGGCTGTGGGAAACAGATGAGTAAGGTCATCTGGGATGGAAGGACAATGGAAAATGAAGAGCTTGTAGAAAAGTGGGTCCAAAATGGACGCAACTTCTGATTTTTCAAGAGAAGCTAGGAATTTGTATTTTTTATGGGAAATTAATTTTTAAATGTTGAAAGTATTTCACATTTTTGTTTAAACAAATAAAAGGACAATTGTGCAGGCCAAATATAAATTGTCAGATGATAAGTATTTTAGGTTTTACAAGCAATAGTTTCTATGGCAGCTACTTAATTCTGCCAGTGTAGTCCAAAAGCAGGCATATATACGATGTAAATAAATGAACATGACTTTGCTCCAATAAAACTATATTTGTAAATACAGGTAGTAGTTGGATTAGGCCCAGGAGCTGGCTATAGTCTGAAAACTCCTGCCTAATCAAACTACATCACCTTAAATTTCTACACAGACTCCATGGGATGGTAGAGTTTTTTTTCCTTTGCCTGAAATGTCATTCTTCATCTCTTAGGCACCCATTAACACTGAACTCAGGAAAACCTGTCTGAGAAACTGTTGTAATGTACCCCACGAATCACACAAGGACGCCTCAAGAAGTTGAATTAAGGAGCCACATTTATTTCAAAGCCGGGACTACGAGGAGTCAATGCTCTCCAAATCTCGTAGTGCCCTCTTGGCCGAATCATCAGACTTATATAGGCAAATATCACAAAAGTATTAATTACATCTCAAGGTTTGGAATGAGGAACCTGGTTTGCAAAAAGCAGTTTGTTACAGAAGCTTAGATTGAGCAAATTAGTTACAAAGATTAATTATAGTTTCAGGTCCTGGGACCATTGAGTCAACGGAAACACATTATCTGGAGCCACTGAGACCATTTAGAGTAATTGTGCTGTTACGGTCTCCAGAGGAATGTGTTTCGAAAGACCAGTAAGATCGCTATCAATGAGGGTATTCAAACCACAATCAATGGAGTATTCAATCGAATGGGATAACTTATATAAGTGCAGAAAATCAAAATAACTTTTCTATTATTTTAGCAAGAAAATAATTACAGAAGCCAAGTCAGCAGGGTTAAAATATTAAACAGCAATTTTTGCCCAAGCATGGTTCCTACCATGCGTCAAAACAAGGCCAGATTCTTGCTAAAGCCCAGTGGTGTTAGAGGCCTCTGTCTCCCATTTTCCCTGGAACATTCTTTCTACCACCCTGAACTTTCTATTGTTTCATTTCTCTCCCTGATTAGACCATGATGATCTTTCAGTCAGGCATTTATCTAATATCTAATTTATTGAGCAAATAAGAGTAATTGATATAAGTAAAAGTTAGATATATAATCTAGCCATGTCAAAAAAAAAAACTAAGAGTTTTCTTTTTCCATATTTAGTAGAGTCCTCCTGGGAGATGTTACTAAGCATCCTTTGGAGAAGAAGCTGGAAGGAGTTGTCAGCCTCCCGGTCAGGAGGTAGTAATACTGAGGCTGTGCTCAGTTCTGCTCATGACTAGCTCTTGTCTGTCTGGGTCACTCTGATACCCCCGCCTGGCCCTTGATTATTTATATCTGTAGAGTCAGCTTGACATAATGATCCATAAATGTTCCTCTCATCTCTAAAAATTCTCTAGGCTGTTTTCTGAACATTTTAAAGCACAATAAATATAGTTTAACCCTATTTAATGCATAATCCAGTAATAAGCTCAGATATTATCGGAAGGCACACAGAGCTATTTATTTAATGTCCCAGATTATTCATTGTGTGTGTGTGTGTTGGGGGAGGTGTTGCTAAAATACTTTCTCCTAAAATTTTAGTTCCGAATTTGTATACTTCTAGAAAACTAACTCTTTCAGTGTGCTATTTTTAATGTTTTATATTATAACACTAGATAATCACCTTCTCTAAACTTCTTAGAATCATGTAGTCAGTGCAAGTGGAAACAGAATAATGTACTGAAAAGACAACCAACTTTATTCGGAGTAAGATCAGTTCCTCCTTCTGTCACACACACCATGGGGCCTCTGAGCACCTGTGTTCCTCATCCATAAAATGGGGATAATTATACACACCTAATGCAGTTATAAGAGTCAATAATAATACATTATTTATAGCACCTAATGCATAACAGAAACTCAACAAGATGCTTGCTACACTTATTTTACTATTATTATTTGTTCTGGCTTATCTTCTGAGATAATTTTAATGCATGGACTTAAACTTTTATAAACTATGTTCTTTCATTATTATTTCAAAGTTTTGGCTCACAGCTGTCTTTTGAAAAGCTGAGATTGCTAGATATTAGGAAGCGTCAGGGAGAACACCCAGTATCCCTCCCATTGACACATAAAAGGACCCCATGAATACAGAATGGATAGCTCAGTCTCAGGAGTGGGTAGTTGTCAGTCTTAACTATGGTCTACATCTTTCTAATTCTAATAGAGACAAAAATGTCGCCCTGGGTCTCTACTGAAGGCCATGTGATCAAAGACCTGATCTGACTGCAACCCTTTCAGAGAGTAGTTTCTCCCCATGTTTCAGGCAGTCAGTGAGTGCATTCTTGTGTCTGTGGGAAGACTATGATTTCAAGTACCTGGAATTTGAAGAAAGCCCTGGAGGCTATTTTCTTCCAAGTTTGAGGTATAGCTGATTATTCTTTGTGGCTCATTAAAAAAGAGAGGCACAAATGATTGAGAGCCAGGAAGACTGATCAGAGAACCAAATATACAGTTTACCAAATGATGTATAGCAAGTGTGAGAAGGAAAGGGATCAGAAATGAATGCAGGCCTAACAAATGAGTAAAGGGACTTGTTTAGAGAGCCAACCAGAAACAGGAACATGAAACTGAGTCCAGGAAATAGTACTCTGGACACTGAGAGATGGTGTATTCATCAAAAGGCTGGTTGAAGACTTCCAAAGGAAACAGAGGAAGTGCCCACATTCACTCAGTGACTGACTGCTGCTCTGGAGCAGGGGGCAACTGGAAACACAAGCAGAGGGGATGTTCAGAACCTCGAGGAAAGAGAAAATGTATTCTCCCATAGTAGTGCTCAATATTAAAAATGCCATTTCTCTTCAAATTAATTTTAAAATGTATTGGAATTTCCAAAAATATTATGACAAAATTTCTAAAATCTAATAAAATTATTTAAATTTCATATGAAAGAAAAGTGATTTTGTTATAGGTGTTCCCAGACAGCCCTGAGTCAGTGGGAGAGTGCTGTCCCCAACCTCGATCCTTGTTTTCTCATGTAAATGAATTTATACGAGAGACCTTTACTGTGTGTGAAAACACAATTTATTAAAGGATGTACCTTTCTTGAAAAAGCAAAGCAAGCAAACCTATACATCTGGTTTATGAAACACAGGTAGGCTCTCAGCTAATCTGAAGAGCAAGTTGTGTGGGGGGTCTGAGGTGTTATATACCCTCCTGTCTATAGATCTCAAAATTCCTTTGGTGACTATTTTGGTACAGATTAATTTTCAAGGTCCCTTTTTACTTTGTTGTGGCCTTCCCAGAATTCATGAGAAGCACCTGGCAACTTTATCTTGCCAAACCTTGAGAGTACAGGCTTTTTGCTTAGGGAGTAAAACTGCCCCTTTTTCCTTTCCCCTTCCCTCTTCCCTTTCTGAATTCTCTCATTAGGAAGGTTTTTTAACCATTTGCTCTAATGTCCTTTGCTGGGGAAGATAATGGCTTGTTAGTTAAAAGTTGGCTGCAAATTGCCCACACTGTCTGGTCTTATTTTAACTTTCCTGTCTCAATTTCCCTATTCCTCCTGCCCTGGAATCCTGTAACAATTTGAAATAACTAACGAAATCCTGAAATAAAAAGAATAAAGGAATGATACAATTATAATTATTGCAATGCAGTACTAGTGATATCATTGTAATAATGTGGTTATTATTAACAGGAAAGGAGCAAAGGGAATACTAGATAATGTAGGCATGCCATTTATACAGCTTTGTTAATTTAACATTCCCCAGGTCTGTTCCCCACTGATTGATGGGAGAAGGGATGGACAAAGGCAGTTTAGACCCAGGCCCCGTAAGGTATGAATGACTGGGAAAGATACTTACCTGTTAGTCAAACCTGGAAGTGTGTCAGTGGCCAGAATAGGTGTGGCCACTGCAAGTGCATGAAACCTGGATATTTAAACTCCTGGACAAAGGAGCATGCTCTCTTGGCTCTTGCTTCTCCTTCTTGACTGCACTCCTATGGCTCCTGTTGCAGGGGGGCATGTTCCCTTATACCCACGTGGCTCAGGGCCATGTGGGACCCATACAATGGACTGATGGACTTTAATAAGTCTAAATACTAAAGTGGACTAGCTACAACATAGAATGGAAGCTCAGGACATTGGCCCTCCTTTGGCTGTACTGGAAGCCCAATAGCACCTCTTTCAGAACTGGATTAAGGGGCAGGGGAGTTTACAACTCAAGGAATATAACTCCACTCCAATGAAAACCACATTTCTCCGATAACACCAGTACAGAAATAGGTCAAACAAAAGAAAATCCAGAAATAAACAGATGTGCATCTGTGGACGTGAAGGCACATGTGCCACATGTTTGGAGTAGCATTATGACTCTGTTAAAAAAGAGAAGCAGGTGGAGCTGGGCCATTTAGCTGGCCAATTATAAAAGACAAACAAAAACTCTACCATCATGTCTCACATTGAACAAATTCCACATGAAATTTTAAATATAAACTACAAAACTATAAAACACACAAAATGAGCACAAATACTAAGCTTGCTACTACTTAATACTACTTAGCGGAAGTAAATAAATATTTGCTAGTAATTATCTTAATTGGGGCGAAGATCTCTATTTTCTGTCAGTTGTCCTAAGGAATGACATCCCAGTGCTGTCGGCAGGGGTATATGAATGAACAGTTACCCCCACATACCAGAAACCAAAGAGCCAGCAGCTTAGTATGTCCATTACTATAAGGGAGGGTGAATTATCAGAACAATTCATATTGTAGTTATTAGATACTAAAAGACAATAACTAGAACACCTGGTAAAAGTCAGACATTTGCCACAGGGAGTTACTCCAGCAACCTTTAGAGAAAACATTCCTGCATCATTTTCTTAGAGAGTGGGTCCCAACACATAAAGGTATGTGATTTTCTTCCCAAAATGAATAGAATGAGTATAATTCTGTATATTAGCAATAGGTGCCCTAACTTCTACGAGGCGAGATGTAAAAGTCTGTTCTACATAGGTTCCTCTTTGAGTTCAGTCACCCATTCTTTCCCTTCTGGTATGATGGATCCAGGGCTTTACCCCTGCCAACTTCAGGGAAGTTGAAGTGGTGAGAAACACGCCCCAGGTTTCCATCAATGTTGATCATCTGGTGATCTGGTTTTCCATGTTTTGAGTAGAGTTCTGTCTCCTGCCAAGAAGAGATGAAGAAAAAACTTCCTAGTACATGACAAATCACTAATTATGCAAGGCTGAGAAAACCTATTGAATGACTTGGGAGATAAAAGCTGGTCCTGAGGGCACCATGGCATCCCTTGTCTGGCTTTGCTGCTTTTCTGGGCCTGGAGCTGAAATACAACTGGGGCCTAGATGTTATCTTTATAGATGGAAAGATCCAGGGTCCAAACCCCATGATCAGTGATATGCTAGAGGAGGATAGGTTACCCTAGCGGTAACTTTTTTCCCCCAGTTTTTTCCCTTATTAGGCATCTGGGGCTTTCTGGGGCTTTCTGCCCTGGTGAGTTTCTATGCCTGGCCCATCATCCTTGCTCTAGGGGTCTAACATTCCCTGCCTCAATTTCTCTTTCAGAGAAAAAAGAGTTCAGGATCTCTTCTGTAACTGCTTCCTGTTGAAAGGGGGGAGACATTTTCCTTCAGAGACAAAAAAATCTTTGCTCTCTGTCAAACAGACAATGAGACCTGGGCAGGGAAGGAGGCTATGATGGTGTCTAGGGATGAGATTTCCTGAGTACAAGCAGAGCTTGTAACCTGGTGGAGGCAAACTGTGTTATCAATTTTAGTATTATTGGGGGGAAAAGCTAGAATGACAATAATTATGAAAAATGTTCTGGTGGAAGAAAAACGTTTTAGTTTTGATAATTCCAAGTGAAAGATTAGAGGAAAGAGAAACATTAGTTTGAAGGGTTGTAGCCAAATATTTAAGAAAACTTCCAAAAAAAAAATCAGGATTTAGTTTAGTGTAGCTCATGGGTGAAAAATATAAAACTTTGAAGATAATAACTGAACTGGAGTTTAACATTTATAACTATATATGGAGTCTATTGAAATACAATTCCCCCTCCCCTAAAATTATTCTCATTTTTATAAAGAGCCAAATTAAGACCAATTTATTTACTGTATTAAATTTAATTTAAAATTTAACCTGATTGTTTGCATGAACACAATAAGAATATCAATGAATTATATAGGTCTTAAAAAACCTGCTTTGCTGAAATTTCATGATTGAGCTTTAATTAGCCCCTTGGGGCAAAGAAGCTGAGCTGCCTAGTTGTCATCATGTTTTCCTGCAACACCTATAGACTTGGGTGAATTCCTCAAGTGCTTGAGGTTCCCAAAATGTTTTGAGGTTTCTTCCTTGCCATTTGTCAGGAAAGCAATCTTTGTTCCTTACCTGAAAGACTGCCATGAACCAAGTGATCAAACAGACTTTCTTTAAAAGACTCTAATTGGACTTTTGAGGCTTTTTGGCGACATCCAGACCCAGGCATGTCTCTCTTAGACATGACATCCCTGTCAAAATCTTGGTTAATTAAAGCATGATTGGAAGCTGGTCTTATTGAATTCATACAAAAAAAAAGTATTGCCATGAGTCACTCATTAAGAATTGCCAAGTTCTGGAGGGATAGGTAGGGAGAAAAATATAAAAGCCCCCGAATTGTTTATGAAAGTATAATTTACCAAATTGTTCTAGGGAAATAAAAACAATCATTCTTATATCTGGAAGACAGAAAGATTTTCATATCACTATTTTTTGTTTGTCCTGATTTTTTGTTAGCATTTCATGTTAATGTCATTCTTTAGAGTTCTATAATTTTTTATTTACTTTAAAGAGATGAATTGCTTAGAAACATAATTTATAGTAAATCAGAAGCCTTGTTATGAATTTTTTTCAAAGCCTTGACTAACATATTTGTAAATGCATCAGATAACAGTGACGATCTGTAAATGAAGAACTTAAATGACATGTTTACTAGTATAGACTTGGCCAATTGACAAAGAATCTTGCTTTTCTGAAAGATATAACATTTCAAGATAACATTTTTTTGGTAAATAATAATTATTATGAAATGACAAAAAAGAATATAGAATTTATATTCTTAGATTCAATGTAGAGTTTTAAAATATATATAAAGAACAAACAATATGCAAGATTTTAAAACATTGCACATGTCTCATAGGAAGTGTGTACTGAGCACTGTAAACAATTCACAAACACAATTATAAACACCTGGAGTACTACTGCCAGACGTCAACTCTAAGCTTGCCTAGTGTCACTGACAAAATACCTGTTACTCCTGAGAATTTCCTGTTTGAACTCCATCCTGAATCTTTGTAAGTTCATTTTTATAGCAGACTGAAATTTTTAAAATATTCATTTTAATAAAAATATATGTATATTCTTACTTAGCAAAGCTTCCCATGTAATTTTTCAAGTATATTAATTAGGCCTAATTAGTTTAAAAACAGGAGAAATAATGAATCCTTGAGGTATTTCAGGACCTGTTGTAATAATTCAAAGTCATTTCTCTGTTAAATAAGTATTTTGAATTAAACTTTGGGACGGTTGTCAAATATGTTTAACCAAAAGATTATATTATAAATCTTTGGTAAATCTGGTAAAGCAAAGGTATAGCTTTATGGTAATAATTTTAAAGGCTATTGTTAGGAACTCAGTTCCTTCACCTTGCTCCACTATGCCAACTGTTGGGTCCGAGCCCCTCTGCCAGGGACTGGACCTTCTTGGACACTAGGTATTTGATGGAGAAGCCATGAGAAGTCATGGGTATATAAAAGAGCCTTTATTGTAGGAGCCAGTGGCCCTGTAGCCATTGCTAACAAGGAGCCACTAGAAAAAACAGTTCTTCAAAGCAAAGTCCCATATAGTAGCCACACACTGGCTGGTCAACAAAACATCTTTCCCACACAGCAGCAGCAGCCTCCATACCCTCAGCCACAGTATGCTGTAACATACTTAAATACCAACTCAGATGAAAGAGGCTTTTTCCAAATAGTGACCTTACTATTTGGGTTATAGAAGGGCACACTTGTGCAGTATATAGCTTGCTGTGTCCTTGCTTTGCACCTGCATATAGCAACTCAACCTTGAACATTTTTATTAGGAGTCCCATGCTCAGAGTGGCCTTGAACCTCCAGTGTACTCTGAACAAGGCCTCTACACTCCAATTGGCCTTGGGCATCCAGCATACTCTGACAGGGTTCCCACACATATTAGTTAAACTTAAACTGATTTTTAATATTAAATTATTTGCCTAGACCATAGGATTCTAATTAATTTATCTAAGTATTTAGTTTCTGTAGGCCAATAAAATATTACACCCTAGTGGTGCTAACTGAAGGCAGACAACACATAACTTATAACATATAGACAAATATGTGTAGACCATAAAGAGCCAACATTTTTTAGATTGACTTTATGAACACACTTTAAACATACTCTTATTTTTAAGAAACACACTTTCAACAAAACACAAGATATTACCTCAACAGTTCCAGATTTACTTTATAGATTTTTCTCTAACAAAAGCTAAAATTAGGTGAACTTAATACTTGCCTAGCAATCAATGTTTCAGTACTTCATGTTATTTTAAAATATCTAAATGTTTATCATTTAACTTAGTAATGCTCCATACCAAAACTTTGGAAAATTATGTATAAGCATATGAGTCTGGTGAAAACGTATGGGTGGGTAAGAGGGAGAGCAGTTACCAGAATTGCAGTTCCTAGGCCTCCAGTTGTTTGGATTTGGAACTGCCACATTCTTTCCTTTAATTGTATTACTCAGAAGCTTAGAAAGGCATGACCAAAAAGTGGGATTGTGAAATAGTAGCATTGAGGATTCCCATTTACCCAAGTGATAAAGCAGGTTTTGGAATAAAGAGATGCTGGTGAGTGGTTCAGAGTAGAGAGAACAGTCTCCACGTCTAATAAAAAGTGTGGGCTTACCTGTCACTTAAGGGTCACCCTTGACTCTGTCCCTTCAAAGATGTTGTTCATAGTGGGGGCCTACTGGAGTGTTGGGCCCTTCAGCTTGAGGCCATTATATGGGTAGGTTTTGGTCCAGGGACTGACTCTCCAGTCCCAGAGATAGTCCCCCTTCCAGTGGCTGAACTTGTGACAGAGCCAGCAAAGCCCTTGAAGTGACATATGGCTTAAAGCTGAGTGTTTGTTTCTTTGGGATGGCTTTCTTGCTCTTTCTCTGCCCTGTCTCAGTGTTAAAAACACTGAAAGTTATTTCTACCAATTGCTCAGTGGGGGTTTTGGGTCCTAAGGCTATTTTTTATATATATTTTTTTGATGCCTGGCGCTGTCAGAAAAAATATATCCCCAAAGTGCTCACCACTTAACAGACCTGAATAACTCCTTTAATAGTCTTTCTATTTATTACTTTCCTTAGAGATAACATGCAAAGTTTGAGTGATAATGAATTCTGCTTCTGATAGTAGTAGGATTGTTAAGTAACAGTTTGTAGTTTTGTAATAAAGAAAGTGCTAAAAGGCAGCTGCTTTGGGGAAGAGGAAGTGATAAGGGGAAGAATGGGTGAGAAGGCAAAATCAGGGGTTTCTTGGGTTTTAAGGACCTGGAAGTGGAGACATAAAAGACATGACAGGAGGAGCAGAGTTCATGGTGGCAGTGGAGCTCAAAGAACATAGGGAATATTGGACCATTTACCT